ATGTGCCTGTTGGCCATTGTATGTCTTCTTTGGAGAAATGTCTGTTTAGGTCTTTGGCCGATTTTTTAATTGGGTTGTTTGGGTTTTTTTGATATTGAGCTATATGAGCTGTTTGTATATTTTGGAAATTAAGCCCTTGTCAGTTGCACCACTTGCAAATATTTTCTCCCATTCCATAGGTTGTCTTTTTGTTTTCTTGATGGTTTCCTTTGCTGTGCAAAAGCTTTTAAGTTTAATTAGGTCCCATTTTTAAATTTTTGCTTTTATTTCTATTCTCTTGGGAGACTGACCTAAGAAAACATTACTACAATTTATGTCAGAGAAGGTTTTGCCTATGTTCTCTTTTAGGAGTTTTATGGTATCATGTCTTATATTCAAGTCTTTAAGCCATTTTGAGTTCATTTTTGTATATGGTGTGAGGGTGTGTTCTAACTTCATTGATTTACATGTGGCTGTCCAGCTTTCCCAGCACCACTTGCTGAAGAGATTGTCTTTTCTCCATTGTATATTCTTGCCTCCTTTGTCAAAGATTAATTGATCATAGGTGTGTGGGTTTATTTCTGGGCTCTCTGTTCTGTTGCATTGATCAATATGTCTGTTTTTGTGCCAGTACCATGCTATTTTGATTACTGTAGCTTTGTAGTATTGTCTGAAGTCTGGGAGGGTTATGCCTCCAGCTTTGTTCTTTTTCCTCAGGATTGCTTTGACAATTCCGGGTCTTTTGTGGTTCCATATAAATTTTAGGATTATTTGTTCTAGTTTTGTGAAGAATGTCATGGGTAATTTGATAAGGATCACATTAAAACTGTAGATTGCTTTGGGTAGTATGCCCATTTTAACAGTATGAATTCTTTCAATCCAAGAGCATGGGATAGCTTTCCATTTCTTTAAATCATCTTCAATTTCCTTTATCAATGTTTCATAGTTCTCAGAGAAGTCAATATTCTCAAAAACAGTTTTTCCACCCCCGTTTATAGAATGTACACATACTCCTTTTAAAAGTATTACAACCTATGGTAAAAATGAAGGAAGAAATAAAAATCACCTTTAATCTCACTAACCAGAAATAACTACTAGTAAACATTTTGGTATGTTTGTAACCAAGTATGTTTCTATGCATAGATACAAAAGAAAAGCTTGATCTTATTGTGTTATTTGGTTTGTATCTTACTTTTTCTAATGTTATGTCATGTGTCTGCATTTCCAAGGCCATGCCATTAATAATTATTTGAGAATTTAGCTACTAATGACTGTATATCATAGCCCAATAGATGACTATATCTTATTTTATATAAATGCCTCATAATAGATAAAGTTTTAAGTTGCTTGCATTTTTCACTACTATAAATAATGTCGTGAAAGACAATCTTGCTTGTAACTTTATATTCGCATCTGCATATTTCCTTAGGATACGTCCAACCACGTCAGTGGTTGCCTTTTAAGCAGGCTTGAGATGGACTCAAGTGTGTTTATTTGAAAAGCCATTATGACAGTAATGTGAAGGGTGGGCTGGAAAAAGATGATCTAGAAGTAAGCAGAGGAAGATGCTATTTGAGCAGTTTAGGCCAAGTGTAAGGGCATAAACTAAGTTATTGGCAGCAAGGCCAGAGAAAAGAGGAAATGATAATGATTCTTAAAGTGTTTGCTTGTTTTATGTTTATGTATTTGTTTGCATGACAGAGCTTTCTTTGAACCTGATGAAAACTACCAGCAGTTTTTACATATGAATTCAGGGGTTTAGGGACCTCTAAGGTGGCTATTGTGGGTAGGGCGAAGAGGTTAGTGGGGCTTAATGGTTCTTTTCCGAAATAGGAAGTACTATGGGGAAAAACAGGTTTGAAGGGTTGGCGTGGGGAGGAGAAATTTATGAGCCCAGTATTAGATGGATCGGGTAAAACTGTCAGGGAGATAGTTTATAAATTGATATAATGGCTTAGGAGAGAGGTCAGAGAAGGATGTGAGGATGTGGGAGCCATCCCCACAAAGGTGGTGGTATTGAGACCCTGGACACGGAAGTATCCTAGAGATGAGGGTGTTTATGTGAAGGGCACTTGGGGCATAACCAGGGAGACAGCCTTCTCCTAAGTAGCAGACAAGGGGGAAACTAGAGAAGGAGCTAGAAGATAAGTACAAAGAAAACCAGAAGAGAATGGTGTTGAGGAAGCCAAGAGACACAAGAGTTTCAAGGAAAAAGTCATCAAACTGTCAAATGTTGCAGAGGTCAAGCAAGAAAAGGACTGGAGGGCGTCCACAGGAGCAAATTAAGTCACCTGGAAATGTGGAATGAACAGATTCAGAGGAATTGTGGGGCTGGAAGCCAGATTGTAGCTTGCAGTGAGGACTGAAGGGAGCTGCGCGAGTAGAACATTCATGGCTTTTTTCTAAGAGAGCTTGTTGCGAAGGGCTGGAGAGGGCCAGGTGCGAGCTAGAGTGAGATGGGGCAGCAGAAGGTTCACTTTTTCTTCTTGTTTATATTCAAGAAGCAAAGCTAGATTTCCAAATTGTCATATGACTTCGATTACCTCTCCAACATTTGCTATTTGCCATGTTTAAAATCCTTTATTGGTGATTATTTTTTTGGACATGGTATACTCTGTCCAAGCTTCCAGCAAAAGCATTGCTGCCCAGACTCCTAGCATCTTACTTCAAGTTCTGTTTAAACAAGCCAAGACCTCCATGTTTGCTCTTAGTCTCATTGGATTTTAATTAGACCCCCCTCTCAGTTTTTAAGCTTCAGCATACTAATATTTGGAGTTGCACTTTTTAAATTATAGAATATGATTTGTGTCCTTGAAGTTTGACCTTTATCTGAAGAAGTGGTTGAAAATGGTAAATGTTTAAATGTTGCAGGTTAGAGAATGTCTTGATTGTGTTGCCAAATGCTGAACGACAGAGAGATTTAATTCTAACAAGCACTAATTATAAAGGGAAAAAAAATCAAAAGGTGATGTCAGCCAGAATCAAAGTGAACCAGAACAAGAAATACTTTTATTGGTTACAGAACATCAACAATGTGGGATACAGCCTTATTCACTTACTTTACTAGCAATGAAAATACTGCAGGCTGTCTCTAGGGGGTTCAGACAGGCTTATTGAAGACATAATCATTTTGATAGGTGTTATTCGTTGGTAATATGATGCTTTGGAGCGGCAGAAAATTACTTATTTTTAGAGATATGCTAAATGTTCTTGGCTTTAAAAAAACAAAACAATATGGCAAAGATTTTATAACTTGGAAGAAGTGGATAGTCAATGCAACATATCCACTGGTTTCTTGCTTAACAGTAAATTAGCCTATTTTTGAGTATTATTTCTCTCAGCACAATTGCTTTAAATATTTTGACATCAAAAAAAGAGGTATCGGGGCTTCCCTGGTGGCTCAGTGGTTGAGAGTCCGCCTGCCGATGCAGGGGACACAGGTTTGTGCCCCGGTCCGGGAAGATCCCACATGCCTCGGAGCGGCTAGGCCCGTGAGCCATGGCCACTGAGCCTGCGTGTCTGGAGCCTGTGCTCCTCAACCGGAGAGGCCACAACAGTGAGAGGCCTGCGTACCGCAAAAAAAAAAGAGGTATCACTTTTTTAGAGGTCATTGTGTTATAACAGAAAACAGTTATCCATTTAGGAGATTAAATAGAGGATATATACGTATACATCAATACATACATACACACACATATATATATATAAATAGGCGTGTGTGTGTGTGTGTGTGTGTGTGTGTGTGTGTGTGTGTGTGTGTGTCTTTGCTTTATAAAGAACCTGGTTATCTTTTTCTTAAGGTGAGATTTATTTTTCTTGAAGATAAGATTTTACTCTGAAATTCTTGGTCCTGTCTTCTTTCTCTTTGTTTTCCAGTGAAATTCATTATTATATCTTTTAACTCTCTTTGGACCTCCCTTCCTCCCCATGCTGTCGAGAACCTGAGGCCGTTCCTTTAATCATTCTTTCACCATTCTAGTCAGTCCTCTTCTTGACTTCTCATTGAATCTAATTCAGTCTTCCCAGGCTCAACCTCATCATTTGACATCTTTGCCACTGTACCTGGGCTGCTGAGCACTGTTAGCTGAAACTTGACAACAGTGCCAGTTATAACCTCTGTAAATTCATGGTCTCCAGTCTGTTAGGGCCCCAAGATGGCCTCTGCAATCCTTGATTGTTCTACACTTTCACCGCTGTCTTCCTATTTCCTCCCTGCCACCTGTTCCCTCAGTCTCAGAAGATAATCTTGACTTCTGTTTTATTGAGACCACCAGGCAGGAACTCCTGAACATCCTCTTCTTTTACTAACATTCCCTGTCTCACTACCTACAAATTTTCTCAACACATATCACCTTCTAGTTATTTTCCTACTTTTTCTCCTTAACTTGGTCACCAGGCTGCTCAAAAGAGTAGTGCCTTTTTTTTTTTTTTTTTTTTT